GGGGAGAGCCCCGTGTGAAGATGTTAAACATTATTAGAGGCGACGGCGTTCCCCGAGAGGCCGGGGTCCGGCTGTGGGCTCACGGGCTGCACCTCTCTGACAGGTCCTGGGGCGGCGAGGGCCACCAGCCGCGGCCTCTGCACCGGCGGGGCGCCCAGCCTCTCCTACCAAGAGCTCAAAGACTTGAAGAAGACCAACGTCCTCCACATAGACGTACGGGAGAGGTGGGAGATCGACAGATTTGGAAAAATCCCAGCGTCCATCAACATACCGCGTAAGTTCCTAACTGTGCAGAGAGGTCAAATGTTCTCCTTTGCTCAGTGGTCGTGTCTGGACAAGTGGTGGTGACCGAGCAAAGAGAAGCTGTGCTAGATAGCTGCTAGTATCTTGTGAGGCTAAAATTTTCCTCCAGAGAAATTGGAAGCCTTAAAGTGTAAGCCTGTCTGTAGATGAAGAATTAATGAGACCTTTTTTTTCTGTATTTCCCAGTGGGTGAGTTAGTGGAAGCTCTACAAATGGACCCAGCGGAGTTCAAGGAGCAATACAATGAAAAGATGCCATCCAGGTTGGACCCTGTGGTTTTCTCCTGTTTGGCAGGAACAAGAAGTAAACAAGCACTTGGTTTTGCTGTATCCTTGGGTTTCAGCAGGTATGACTTGGGTGCGTGAGGATGGGATTAATGCAACATCACCCCATGAAGCAGAACTCATACTCAGCTTCTTGTGGGCAGGAATAAAAATTTAAATGTGGAATATGAACAAAACAACTGGTATTTGAGTTAGACACTCCATCTTGTCTCCACTGAACCCTGAAAGATGCTGTTGGGTGCTCTACCAAAGTGAGGTGTATCGCCCTGTGGAACAACCCCTCGGCAGCTCTGCGCGTGTGCAATCCACTGCAAGACCGTGCCACCTCTGAAGGGTCCTTCTGCCTCTTAGGGCTCCCTCGCCAAGATATTCCTTCCTTATAGAGCTTCATAAGCACTAGTTCTGAGACACAGAATGACTGGAAAGGTGGAGAACTGCTCGTTTTGGTAGAAGTACAATCTTAGGTTAGATAGTTTATGAAACCACACCCTTTGTTAAATTGCAGTTCTACCTGTACAGTTCACTGTTGACAAAGTATGCTTTTACTTCAAGTAAAGCACTGGCTTGTTTGCCGGGAGTAAAGCAGTGAAGGCAGTAGCTAAAAAGACCATGAGATTGGTAGAGTGAAAGCAAAAGTAGTGTGTGGTTGGCAGAATTGTTACATTCGTGCCAGGGGGTGCCTTGTAGGCTTGAAGACTGCAGATAGAATTTTAAAAATTTGCTGTTTGCTTATCTGAACTGCAGTTCATGAATTAGAATATCCCTGCTAATTCTATTCAAAATTATGGAACTAATTTTGTATCTTAGATTGTTTTAGTAAATGCAAAATATCCTCCATTACCTGTTCTGCATGCTGCCTAATTGAAGGAGTCGGTTCTGTTTGCATGCTGGGTTTTTGTGAGTTTAGTTTAGAGCAGGCTTATGTAAGTTCTATAGAGCATGTAGGTTTGCAAGGAAGGAAAGATCAGTGTGCTGCCTTTATTTGATGACATCTGAAGTATTCAACATAGTAACATGTAAATCTCCCGCCACAGTGAGTCAGTTCTCTCTTAAAATAAAAAATGGCAAACTTTCGTAGATCCAGCTGCTACTACTTGCTTGATGTTTGATCTCCAGTATTGTGTCATTTGGAAGAAAAGAGTTACAGAACACACTGCGGGGAAGCAGGCAGTATTACAGAACAATAAATGTTGATCTGGCTCATTGAAGCTAGGTACAAGTGTATTTGATTGCAAAGAATTTTTGTATGGGTTTTTATCTTGATTTTTTTGCTTGGTTTGGGCTGGGTTTTTTTTTTTGTCATAACCTCTTAAATACCTTTTTCAAGAAAAGTCCTTAACATTCTATCTTCTGCATATTTTCAGAGTTCAGCAATATGCTGGTGGCTTTGAGGACTGGGTGAAACACGAACCTCCAGAGAAAAAATGAAGAGGACTACCCCAGCCCTTGCCCCATCAAGGCTTCAGGATGGTTTTAGCATTCAAACTGTGTGCATTCTACTCCCAGAATACAGCCCACTCCTGTTTTCTTGTGTAAATGGACATTCACCTTCAAATAGCCATGCATATCAACTGCTTGGTTTAAATTCTACCTAAAGACTATGACATGAACAGAGGATGTTAAGTCTTTTAATTTTCATATGCAGATCTGCTTCTGAGCACAAAATGTTGTAGCATTCAGTCAACAACTTCTGTTCCCTCAGCAGCTCAGTATCAAGTGAGAACTTGCCTATATTTCAGGTTATTATTACAAATATTTAATCATTTTACGCAGAAAAACCTGAGGTATCCAAGGAAGTTACTAAACTCCCTTCTTTTATGTACATTAATTTGCAGGTCTTAAAAAAAAAATTGGCCCATCCACACCTCTAAATTTGCATAGTCATAATTTTAAGGCTTTTTGGTTGGTTGGTGGTTTTTTTTTACTGCTGCTAGCAGCTCAGGGGAACCAGCAAAGGTGAATTACATTTGCCTCTAGAAAATATTAAGTCCTAGCACAGAAGTTCAGGACTCCGCAGGATGTCTGGAAAAAAAAAATGAAAATTTCTGGTTCTGCTTTAATCAGTGAGTGGTGAGAACTAAAAAATACACCCTCTCAAGTTTAGAGAACAGAGAAGAAAAAGTAACTAATTTTACTAGAATTTTATTTCTATGAAGTCCCGCAGCCTTTCTGCAGTCTTTTTGTTTCTAGAGGAGAGCTCCTACAGTTGGCACAGCCAGCTGTGTTTGCTGTGCTGCCCTGATGGTGCACATTACAGGGGTTTCTGTTCTCCCATCCTTGCTAATAATTAGAGACCCTGTAGCATACCTGTTTTAATGGCGAGCTATGAGTGCATTTTTCTTCAATGTATCATTGACTTTTTAGTAGTGTTTCGCTATACTTTATTTTCATCCCTTATGTAGGACAGGGCCTGGGGAGCAGGACCCTGAGTGCTGCTCAAGTCATGACCATAAAAGGGGTAAACAAGGACCTGAAAAACCAGAATTTCAACCCTGAGAGAAGCAAGTTCCAGGCACCCTGCTGAGAAAGGCCTCAGGGGCTCTGCCTGAAAGGCAAGAGGTGTTTGTTAGTGTAACGGTGCATCACTGACCAATCAAATGCAGCCGCGCGCAAATGAACCAATCAGTTTAAAATACGCAGCCAATGTAAGCATATATAAGGAAGCCTCTGCACACAATAAACCGGCATTTTGCTTGCATCAAGCTGCGTCCCGTCTCTCAATCGCCGCACCCATAGAAAATAACCAACCAACTTAAGAGCCAGAATTTAGACTAATTTCCAAAATACTGGTTTAGTGACGTTGGCACACAGCGGGGCTCGTCAGGCTTCCCGCCACGGGAGTGTCGCCTTTCTTCTGCCCTGAGGGGAGCTGTGTCTGGTCCTCAGTGGTCTTGTGGAACACCATCATGAGTAGAAAGAAAGAGATCCCCTTGGTGGGTATCAGTAATGAAGAGCTTAATAGAAGAAAAGGAAAAGCCATAAGGGTACGTTTTGAGATACCAGAAGAGGCTTTTACAGAACCAAGTCAGAGAAAGAGTGATTTGTGTCATGTATCAAAAGCTACGAGTGTGAAAGAGTCACCTGAAGATGTGAAGGATGAAGACACTGATTTACTTGGTTTCTCTTCTGCAGAAACCAAAACTGATTTTAAACTTGGGCTGTGCGGTGGCAATTCACAAAGTCTAGAAAGGCCCTTCAGTCACAATACTGAAGAAAAAAGTGTTCAGCCAACAGTTTCATCAAATGGTGGGCTGAGGGATAAACCAGCTCTAGCTCCATCAGCAGACATGGACAGCAAAACTGTGGAAGATATTGATGAAGCTTTGTGCATAGCTATTTTCAATTTCAGCCACCTACGTGATGCTGATGAGATGCTGAAATACTTGGAACTGAAAGTGAAGCTATAGAAGCTGCAGAAAGAACATTTGATGAGCTTAATACTGCTCTCCTCACAAGCCTCCCGGCAACCATCCTAGGAGGACAACTTTAACCCCAAACCCAGGCAGATGGAGCTCGCTTAGCCCTGTAAGGCCATCCATCTCGGAGAAGGACACACTAACTAAACCTATGTCCTGAGGACTTCGCTGTCACTGTCCAAGCTCACTAGGCCCTGGCAGATGAAGCTTAGGAGTAAAGGGTGGGGCCAGTTCTGTACACACTGAGCCTCACCTAAAAAATCCATTGCGCAGGCTTGAAGGATACACCCATATTTGTAAAGTCCTGTAGTGACAGGTGAGGGTCAAAAGGGCAGGTGATGAGGTGCACTGGAAGCCGCAGACCCAACCCTGCATGCAGGCAGTTCAGGACACTGGTCGCTTGAGACTGACCCCAGAGATGACAGTCTTGTTCGGCAAGATCCTGAATGACCAAGCAGCCTTTTCCAAGGAGAGCACTGCTTGCTCCACACGGAGAGGGGCCTCGAGAAGGTGGCCTAACCAAAGCTCATCTCCACACTCTACCCAGTGGGCTAACCGCAGCCAACGGGCATCTTCTGATGCGGTTGAACAAACACAAAGAGAAAAGGCATACACCTGCCTCCGAAGGTGTGTTCAGACTGACACTCGCATGCTGGAACATTAGAACCATGCTTGATACTGCAGATAGTAGACGTCCTGTGCATCGTTCTGCTCTAATTGCCCACAAACTATCACGACTTAACATCGACATTGCTGCTCTCAGTGAAGTTCATCTCCATGAGGAAGGCAGCCTCAAAGAACATGGTGCTGGCTACACACTATTGGTCAGACAAACCCAAAACCGAAAGTCACCTCTCAGGAGTTGGTTTCATGATTAAAAACTCCATTGCCTCCAAACTTGAAAAACTGCCGACAGGTCATTCCAATCGTATCATCTCCCTATGCCTCCCACTACATAATAAGCAACATGTTGTTCTCTTCAGCATATATGCCCCAACTCTCCAAGCTGCTCCTGTGGAAAAGGACAAATTCTACACCGACCTGCGCAGCCTCACGCAAAAGGTTCCTGCAGATGGTAAGATCGTAATCCTTGGTGACTTCATCGGCAGAGCAGGAAAGAACTCTGAAGCCTGGAAAGGAGTACGAGGCAAGCATG